ATATATATATATATATATATATATAAAATGTATGTGAAAACAACAGGTAACGATAGATAATATTCATTCTATTTATGTAATATGCCAACTAGATTTCCTAGTCAATTGCTGCCAATATAAACTGATATATTTTCAGTAGCTAAATTCATTTTTACTATATTCAATTTCAGAGAATGATTTAGTTCATGTAATTGGGTATGACGTAGACGATGAGGAGGAAGAAGAGGAAGAAGACTCATTTTACGAGGGAAGCGAGTTTGAGACGCCGTCGTGCTCCGGTTGGTCGGGGTCAGATCAGCAGGATAGTGCGTGTGATGTGCGGACAGTTCAGCTAAAAACGGGCGGCTCTGGACTTGGTATTACTATAGCCGGTGGGGTTAACAGTCCCCTTGGGATTGTGCCCGTATTTATATCAGGTGTGACCAATGGAGGACAGGCATACAAGACCTCCCAAGTTATGGTACGATTTATAGTTTTATTGGTAGGCCTGTTATCCAGTAGGAAGTGCCACTTCAAATCCTTCGCTTTTCGTAACATTTGCCGTGGCAATAATGGGCCACCGTATATTTTAATCAAAAAATAGTGAAAGAAAAAAATTAGGGAAATGATATGTGTTTATTAATTAATAAAGTAGCCTATAATATGGCAAGCCATATACATTACGAACATTCATAGATATATTAAGATATATTAATAATAATACTAATAACAATATATAAGTAATAATGAAAACATAACATTGTATGGTAATGGCGAGGAACGATAGAAAAGTAGACCGAACCTTATATCATTTAAACTGCTGAATGACTTTCAGAAAGCTAAATTATTATTAGGCCTATGTTATATTATTAGGCTCCATCTGCTTCAATTGAAGTAAGATGTAGGCCTACATGCACTACAAAAGAAACTGCTTGTGACTAATAAAATACATTCATTTTTTAGGTCGGTGATCGAATTATAAGCGTCAATGGAAAAAAGATGGAAGGCAAGTCACATAGTGACGTGGTGCAGACGATAAAAACCTCTTTGAATTTCGTCACGTTAGAACTTACGCAAGGTCCTGAAAATATCATGCACTACTTAGCATTTGACTAAACAGCTGAGCACGCGAATTCATGATGTCATGAACTCAGCGCTAGATTGATAGAAGTGTTATGTTTAATGGTTTAATGGGCCTTCCTTAAAAAACTGACCAATCAGAACAGCGTCATGTATGAATACGCCCACGTCCAGTATTATACAAGGGCGGGACTTTGCAGAAAAGTT